AACCCCCCTCAAAAATATTTCCAGCAGTCATTTTTTTTAAACATCTTTAGTTTGATACCTGTATTGTAATAAGTCATTTATTTTATCAATTAAATTTAGGTAAATTTTCAAATAGGTAACAACCCTCCTCAAGCATATTTTCGGCTGTAAGCTTTCTTAAAACTCCAAAGTTAAATACCCACATTGCAATATTTCATTTATTTTACCAATTTGAATGAGTTAAAATTTTCAAAAAGGTGGCAACCCTCCTCAAAAATATTTCCAGCAGTTACATTTCTTAAACCTCTTTAATGTAATATCTATATTGTAATATATCATTTACTTTATCAATTAAATTGCACTAAGTTTTTTAACAGGAGGCAACCCTCCTTTAAAATATTTTCGCCTGTGAGCCTTCTTTAACCTCTTTTGTTTGATACCCACATTGCAATATTTTATTTAGTTTATCAATTTAACTGAGTTAAAATTTTCAAACAGGTGGCAGCCCTTCCCAAAAATATTTCTTAAACCTCTTTAAATTGATACCCATATTGCAATATTTCATTTATTTTATCGATGTACTTTAGTTAAATTTTCAATCGGGTGGCAACCCTCTTCAAACATATTTGCGGCTGTAAGCCTTCTTAAGGCTCTTTAGCTTGACACCCACATAGCAATATTTCATTTATTTTATCAATTTGACCGAGTTAAAATTTTTAAATAGGTGGCAACCCTCGTCAAAAATATTTCCGGCAGTTATCATTCTTAAACCTCTTTAATTTGATACTGATATTGCTATATTTCATTTATTTAATCGAAGTACTTTAATTAAATTTTCAATCAGGTGGCAACTCTCTTCAAACATACTTTCGGCTGTAAGCCTTCTTAAAACTCTTTAGTTTGACACCCACATGGCAATATTTCATTCATTTTATCAATTTGACTGGGTTAAAATTTTCAAATAGGTGGCAACCTTCATCAAAAATATTTCCACCAGTTATCTTTCTTAAACCTCTTTAATTTGGTACCCATATTGTAATAATTTATTTATTTTATCAATATAATTGTGTTTGAAAATTTTCAAATAGGTGGCAACCCTCCAATTTTTTGCGGTATCGTTGGTTCTGGTATTATACCGAACAATACAAAAAAAAATTATTCAAATCGGTTCAGCCGTTCACGAGTTTTGACGACCGTGACATACGAACACAACATTTTTATTAATATAGATGAATTATTATTAAGAATCTAAATATAAAATAAAATTATTTATGTTGTCAAATTAAAATAAACTCTAATTAAAAATATGCGTATGTATACTATATTAAGTATCATTCAGTTGACTGCTTACGGCTGAATTGTGGCTTGAATCCAATCCATAAAATCGCCAACTCTGGTATAGACACCAGGCCAACCCTCCAGGCCGCAGGGAGTTGGTCCGAAAGATACTACACCCGCTAAAAAGTAGTACGATAATGCTTTCTTTGCATTATCTAAGCTAACCAACGGTCCGCCAGAGTCGCCGCGGCATGAATCCACTCCCTCTTTTCCACCAGCGCATATCTGTGTTGATTCTAGCCGAATATTTTCGGTTGCATACTTTTCTCCGCATTTGCTCAGTGGTACACCGGCCACCTCTGCTTTCAATTTCAGTGTGCTAGTCGATTCCTTCTCCGTTTTGCCCCAACCAGCTACGTCCATGACAATGCCATCGAAAGTAGCCGAACGTAGATTGGCCCCCACCGGCAGACAAATTGGACGAATGAAGTCTGTATATTGTACATTTCTATTGAGTCGCAACAATGCGAGGTCGTTAACTTGACTTCTGGAGTCTGGATTATATTGTGGATGTGAAATTGCGTTCTCTACTACCACATCAACATACGGAGGTGCGCAATCCTGTTCGCCACGTACATCAATCTCACAATCAGGATTGGTGGTTGTATCCCATTCGCCAAGACGTACACCGGTCAGCTGCCAATCTTTAGGGATTGCTTTGCCGTTGACGCAATGTGATGCTGTGATAACGTAGCGTGAATTGATGAGCGAACCGCCACAATGATGTCCTTTTCTACCGCCAGCTGTGAAGAAGGCGTGAATTTTAGTATTTTTTTTTGTTACTTTTATGCATGATACAATAATTTTTAGATGGTAGTTTCACTTCTTCTTCTTCTTATCCGCCATGTTAGCTATCTGACACAAAACGTGTTTCGTATTTTTTGTGTTACCAATTTATTAAAAAAAATACACCTTTTTGGCGTTGAAAAAAAAATAAAACTAAGCAAAGCCAAACATATAACTTCAAAAATATTAAAAAATATTCATAATAAAATAAAATTAAATAAGAAATGAGCTGCTGCTTCCGGGGATGTTTCAACACGCGGAATAGCTGTAGGAATACAGCTGTAAAACATTTCAAATTTCCTGTTGTGCCGTATTTACGGGAAAAGTGGATGAAGGCTTGCGGATTAAGCGAGCAGCAATTGCCAAGGGAACCGTTTGTGTGTTCCAATCATTTTTTAAGTACAGATTTGATTGCGCGGAACGGTCGTGCACTGCTAAGCCGAGGTGCCATCCCCGGAGCCGAAATGTAAGTCAATAAAAAACAAACAAAATTTGAATTTTGAAAGTATGTATGTACATATTTCATAACTTTTGCAGCGATCAACAACCAAGCGGCATGGACGATGACAATGAATATTGTATAGACGACGCCAGCGAATCCCCTTTCGTTGGGATATCGAGAAAAAGAGCCAGGAAAGGATACGTCAGCGTTTCAACGCAAACTGAGTAAGTTTTTTTATGGCGATACCAACGAATTAATACATTACACGGTACCACACTATACGTAACGGCTCTCAGAAGCGGTAAAGTAAATACAGCATGGCTTTCAGCGACGATGAAATGATTGGTTATGGCAATCGATGCATTCAGACGGAAATCTAAGGAGACTTGTACCGCGGCTCTTGTAGTCGCATTACATTAGTAGGGGCTGGTAATGACGGTAGTGTCAGCTTAAACCGTGAAGGCCGGAAGATGTCGGCAGGGAAGAGGGGTCAAAGCTTAAGGAGAAACCTTGTGTTCTAAAAGCTTAACCAGGAAGAGGACGTTTAACATACTTAGAGGCAGTGCATTACGTTACTTTAACTAGTTAAGTTGCGGCCTCTTCTAATACATAATACTGACTTGGTCGCGAAAAACTTATCATGATCACTACTCTATAGAATATTTGCGCCCTTTTTTGCTGATCTGTGCTCAATCAGTGATTTAATGTAAGTGCAAATAGAACAGTTTATGGTCTGAATGCACCAATTAAAATAACGCTAACAGATATCAACATGATCTCTCGTTCTTTAGATTTAGATTTTTTTGCCAAGGCCTGCATTACGTACTATCATTATTTGTTATCTCTGTAATAATTCTCGCTAGCTCAATTTGGTCATTTATTACTAAGATTTGTTATGTATCTTAATAGCGGTGTAAAGGAAGGAGTTATATTAAAAAGCCTTGTATTTGAACAATCATGTGATTTTGCTTAAAAGATATCTTGAAAGAGGGTCAGATAGGACATTAAGTCAGCGATTTTCCAGCGCATCAGGTCTTTGTGAAGAGATACATATCAGGACTGTTGAGGTATATGTCAAGCATGTTTTTTGCATACAGAGACCGCGACTCCTTGTTTTTATCTATTTATTTATACATACATACGTTGTTGCAGAGCATGGATAGATGGGAATGAAGATAAAATCAATAATCTTGAGAGAGAGGTTTTAAGGAAAACCGAGGAAATAGCGTTCCTCAAACTGCAACTAAACCGTTTTTCCTCTGCCAGTCGGATATTTAGCGCAAACAAGCAGAATATACTCTGTATCCAGTCCAAATCGCCCAGATATACTTTAGAGGACGTTGCGAATTCCACGTGTATATACTCTGCTAGCCCACGTTGTTATAAACTTTTAAGAAAAAAGAACTTCCCGCTACCTTCCCCATCTACTTTGCGCAGATGGGTGTCGAAGTTACGTGTCGAACCAGGTATACAGCTGCAAACAATGTCGCATATGAAATCACTTGACATGGCGTTTGAAGACAAGATATGCGTATTGTCATTCGATGAAGTGAAATGCCGGGAGGAGTGGTCTTATGACAGAAAAAACGATATTATTCTGAGGCCAAAACGAATGATACAAGTGGGCATGGTACGAGGCTTACGTGGTCGTTGGAAGCAGCCTGTATTCTATGACTACGATTGTAGAATAACGCCGGATGTACTACATTGCATCATAGAAGAATTATACTCCATCGGGTATACAGTGGTTGCAGCAGTAAGCGATTTAGGTGTAGAAAACCAGCATCTGTGGAGGGTGATGGGTGTAACGGTTGAGCGGCCGTATATTCAACACCCAAGTGATGGTGATAAGCGAGTATATGTCTTTGCTGATGTTCCGCACCTATTAAAGCTGCTTAGAAATCATTTTGTCGACAATGGTTTATTCATTAACAAGACAATGGTTTGCAAATATGAGATAAAGGAGTTGATCTCCCTCTCAAATTCGGATCTCTCAATTACCAAAACATTATCGTTGGAAATGCTGAATGTTCAAGGAGCAGGTACTTTGACTTAAACAAATTTTCAGTGAAATATACCATTCCTGCACGTTATTACCCTTGCCTGTAACTTCATTGTGTAGGTATATTAATGTATACGAAAATGCAGACCTACTCCGGGTTATAAAAGTTCGGTTTCGCATGAGTTTAGCCTTTCTTATTGGTCATTATTATTACTAATTTTTATTACACATACCTATACATATTTTTTACTAATACACTAATACTTAACAGCGCGTCAGAAGGTGNTACATATACATACATATTTTTTACTAATACACTAATACTTAACAGCGCGTCAGAAGGTGAAATATGCGGCAAAACTTTTTTCGCATACCACAGCCACCGCACTTAAACGATGCGCGCAATTGGGTCTATGCAACAATCCACAAAAATTCACTGAGTGTGCAGAATTGATTCAAGTTATAAACGATTGGTTTGACACCTTTAATACCTGCGTAACGCGAAAGGACTCTCGTCCTTTGAGTAAAGCATTCGGACTCGCAATACCAGAACAAATGAAAGCCTTAAATGCTATGAGTAAAATCGTACCAGACTTATTGCCGCTTCGACTAAGCAGAAAGCTGTTACCTTTCCAACGAGGAATTTTGCAAAATAATGCAGCCCTTCCCCTACTGCATAATTACATGGTAGATAGGTACGGTTGGAAGTACATCAAAATTTTTGTAGCGCAATACGTTCTAAAGGTGGGCTTCATGACCACCCATCTCCTTTGGAATTCAAGTATCGGCTCCGTTCGTATCTATTAGGTAAAGTTAAAAACCAATAATTTTTAACCAAAAAAAAACTGATTTCATTCATAACAAAATTTAAAAACTGTTACTACTGTTAAGTGGTTCTTGTCTATAATCCTTGTCTAATCCATTTCGATCCCTTACTTAAGTAAGCAGTAAGGATTGCTAAAGTAAGTACAAAAAATTAGACATGGATCCGACAAAGATTACAGACAGGAGCCACTTAACAGTAGTAACAGATTTTATTTTTTTAATTTGTAATTGTCTCGTTATTGCACAGGACCATCGATATATACATATATATTATATATATTCCGACGAATTGATAACCTTCTATTTTTTGAAGTCGGTTAAAAAATTGTATGTGTTTGCGAAACCAATCAGGAGTTTATTGCTTTACAGCAGGCACGCCCACCGCAGGCAGCTCCATAAGCAAGTGCAGCGTTTGGCATGGCTGCTTTACAGTTTTATATTAAGGTTCAATTCTTATAGATATGTATATGTATAGGGCGTAATGAAACTATATTATGCTCCGATGCAAATGTGCAAGCCACTGACGACAAACTAGTTGGAGTTCAAAATTTTAAGTATATTGATGACGATTCTCAAGAAAATGATGAAGTTTTGAGCCAAAACATGTTTAAAGAGGTCTTTGAGAATGTGCAAATTTCAGAAGAAGAAATGATTGAGGTGAATTTTGTACTTTTTTTAATATAAACTTAACTTTTTTTTTAATTACACATTTAGCTCACAGATCAGCAAGAACACGAGGAAATTGTAACGGATATAGCAAAACTAAATGACATTGAATTTGATGGTTTAGAAAATTTTGGAGGGTATATAATTTCCAAATTAAACCTGTTAAATTATGGCTTCAGAACTTTCAGTTCAGGCGACAAAAATTATACGTATGTAAATTTGCTATCTGAAGAGGGTTTATATAAACCATCAGCTGAGTTTTTAAACATTTTGGAAGGACTAAATTCTTTGTTTTTGAAATTTAACGGTGAAAATTTATTTGAGGAACAAAATTATATGTTCAATTTACTAAGACTTACCAAAAGCTTTACGAATATAGATGCCAAAATTGTTAAGAGATTCTTTTTGGGCAGAACATATTTTAGAATTATATTTTTGAACCGAATATTAAAAGAAAACAAAACTGTTTTCGCCAACAAAAAAATGAAAAAAACTGTAACATAGTATAACAAAAAGAGAGAAGTGTGATAAATAGAATTAATTATTGAATTAATTAAGCTTGTTCGTTATGTTATGTTGTTATGTTACGTATACTGCTTGTATTTATAATAAAAAATAAATTTGAAAAATCCTCAAAAAGAGATATATTGTACTCTTGCATTTTCGTTTATATGATTTTTATTGATGTGATTAGCAGTGGCAAGTATGTATTAAATATATATTAAAAATAATGTGATCAGTTATAAAATATATAAATGTTTACATGAGTAAAAAAAAAATACCCAAAACAATAAGTTGAAATACCCAAGTTCAATATCGTAATAGTGGCATCATCACGTGTTTGTCACAGACACGGTTTATGTCAAAAATTTTCAAGTGAAACTACCTTCTAAAAATTATTGTATCATGCTTTTATGCTTGTATTTAAAATTAAAAACCATGCTCACTCACGTTTTGTGTACTCGATCAGTGCCATCCAGGGGAATTCGTCAATTTTCGTCGCGTTACCACCGTATATGCGATTCGACAAGACACTGCCGCACTGGCCTGGCTGTGGCAGCAGATTACTAGGCGTAACAGGTGGTGACTGGGTGGTAGATGCAGTCGAAGGTATTTTAATGAAATTTCGGTAACGATCAGGACAACAAATCTAGAGAAAGATAGTTAAGGTGTTTTTACTTTACGTATCTAAAAAAAATTGCTATAAATAAATAAAGACTTATGCATAAAACATTGCACACTTCCTTTAAAAAAAATTTTTTGAAATATAGCAAATACTTACCAAAACTTTGCCATTTTGGTAGCCACACTGACTACGGCTCAAATATAGTCGATCTGAATCCTGAAGCGGGGTTGTAAGTAGCAAGTTGAACAAGTATTTGCAATCGTCCAGAATGATGCAGAGGGCGCGCTCGCGGTTCGGTGTGATACAACGTCCAAAATTGGGCACATCAGCATCCTCATTGGGAAAGTAAAATTCTGTGGGCCACAACAAAAAATTAAAGTAAAGGGTAAACAGAAATTCTTCCATATACTCGTATTCATACATACATGAATATGTATTTACCCTGCAAAAATTATGCGACTAATCTCTAAAGAGAGTATTCCGAGATTACTCTCAATCGGGTACAATTGGGCATTAATTAGTCCCAACTAGTCTCATACGGGTACTAATGGAGGTCAATTAGTCTCGACTCATCCCTTATGGGTATAATTGGAGATCAATTAGCCCCCAACTCATCTCTAACGGGTACTATTAACGATTTAATGATTTGTACGCACTTGGTCAATGAAATTTCATGTGCGGCGATGGCACACAGAGAGAGTATTCGCCTAACAAAGCTGAGCAGCCCGGTTCGAATCTCAGCTGGCGCAAATTTTTATTTTTATTTTTTAAAAGTGACTAATCGCTTTTTATACCCGTTCGGGTATAAAGGTGAACAATTAGTCTCTTCATAGGACATGTTCAAACAAAAGCGAACAGTTCATTCCATATAAAGAGATCAATAGTGGTATTAATGGCATGCTCCTTTGCGATTGCTCCCGGAGTCACCCCGGATTAGTCCCATTTTTTGCAGGGTAGTTATGGATATGCATACAAACATAAATAAATATGTACATATCGATGGTTCTCTACAATAACGACAGAACTCAAAATTCAGAAATCAAAACCCTTAATATTGTTAAGCGTTTTATGTCTCTAATCCTTGTCTAATCCAGGTATTATCCTTACTTAGGTAAGTAGCAAGGATTACTAAATAAAATAATAAGAATTAGGCAAGGATTCGAGACAGGAGGCACTTAACCAGTTAACTATAGTAAGGTATTTTTTTTTAATTTGAATTGTGCCATTTTTGCAGAGGACCAACGATATGTGACAAAGTATGTTAGAATGCAGTGAGAAAGCGGATGAGTTTCAATATATCGTCACCATCAATGTCACAGGCCCCAATTAGCAAGGTTTAAACTTTTATGAGATGCTAAATAACAAATTCTTAAATTAACACAGAAAGTTCTTTCAGAGCTCATCTGTTTCGAAATTTGGTTTTGGGTATATGTATCTAAAAGAAACTGACGGCATTTACATACAAACATACATATGTAGTAAGGTGTCAAAAAACTTGCTTTTACAAAATTAGTTGTGTTTTTTTACAAATTATCCAGTAACTTGCCAGCAACTCTCCAGTAACTTTATTTCTAAGAATTCGCTCCCATAGAAAAAATTTGCAANTGCAAGTTTCATGAACAGCTGATAAATTGGTTGTTTATTCGCTGCAAATTCCTAATAAAACAATATATTTTGTATTTAAATAGGTTTATTTTGTGAAATTCAACAATAGGAGTGTTCGCATGCAACTGCCAGTAAGAATTAGCCAGTAACAAAATTCAGAGAAATTCTCTCCCAAAGAGAGAAACTTACTAAGTTTTGCGCGAACAGGAATTAGCAAACATTTGCAAGCTTCACTGCCAGTTGGCGTCCACGGTTGCATTTCGAGCACAAACAATTTTTTAAATTATTTCAGGTGGAATTGAAAACAGGACCTATACGTATATTTCTTCTTATTCTGACTTTCTTCAACATGCGCTTCAATTTCTTTGTGGAAGTCACTGTCGAATTTCCTATATCGACAGCGGTGTCGAGTGCGTTCCGATTACGAATACAACTTTTTCAGCCGGGTACCTTTCAAACGTTTGGAATTAATTAAATTAATTGAATAAACAAATATTTCATACTTCTTTCATTAGTCAATCACAACAAGATTGTTAATTTTTAAATTTAATGGACTTGTTGATTCAAATTAATGTTGACAAAAATGCAACCGTGTGCTACAATCCTGCTTGCAAATTCTTACTGGCAAAAATTTGCAACTTCCCCTCCAAATGAAATGTCAAAATTGTGCTCTCTCCTTGCAAGTTTTACTGGGTTTTTGGTTAAACGAATACGATTTGGTAACAATTGGTACCAACTTGTACAAATTTTTTGCATAGCGAACACTCGTAACAAAAACCCACAAACAGTTTCCTTATAAGTTTAAATTTCATCCAGCAATAGCTCCGATCCAGTACTCCATGAACTTACANCAAAAACCCACAAACAGTTTCCTTATAACTTTAAATTTCATCCAGCAATAGCTCCGATCCAGTACTCCATGAACTTACAGGATTTTACACGAACTTGCAGGAAGTTCCCGTACTTTTTGTTGTTACTCACTTTTTACTCTCACTTCAGAGAGTAATTATGCTGTTTGACAGTTTTACGGGATTTTTCACGAAAAGTATTGGATCAGAGCTAATATGCGATCAGCTGTTTTTCGTACTGGCAAATTCTTACAAGTAAAAATTTATCCAGTAAAATCCAGTAAAAACTTGCAGCTTCAACTGTCATTTTTCGCTCTCTCAATTTCCCCTACTTTGCAGGTTTTTGCGTACGAAAACGCCAAAACATGAAAATTCGTAAAAACTTTTACTGGATTTTACTGGAAATGAGTATAAAAACGCAACTATTGTAAATTTTATTGCGGATTACGGTAAAATACCCATTCAGTAAAAATGTTTGTTCGAAAAACATTTTTCTTATGGCGTGGCAGCTTTAGAACTGCAGTTAACAAAACGAAGATTTTTGTTATGTTCGCTATATTCGTTTGGACAAAAGACTTGTAAAACTTGCATTTCTTTTGGAGGGGAAGTTGCGAATTCATGCAGGAAAAATTTATTGCCAGCAGGATTGTGGCACACGGTTGCATTTTTGCCAACAATAATTGGAATCAACAAGTTCATCATTTCCAATGATTTAAAAGTAAACCGGCTGAAAAAGCTATATTCGTAATCGGAACGCAGTCGACATCACTGCCGATATAGGAAATCCGATAGTGACTACAACAAAGAAGTGTGTGTTGAAGAAAGAATTAAAAAAAATTAAATTATGTTCGGAATGCAACCGTGGGCGCCTGTTGGCAGTGAAACTTGCAAATTCCTGTTCGCGCTTAACTTTGTGAACAAAATTCAAAAACTTTATCATAAAGGTATTTTTTTCAAAAGAATTTTTGCAACAGCTGATACCACTTCATCGTACTTATAAGTTAGGTGACCATATTTTGAAAAACGAAACCATATTTAGAAATGATGAAATGATAACAAATATAAATATAAGGCAAGGGGGAATTATTATAAATTATTTTATATTAAGCCAGATTTAACGATACGATCACTGTATTTTTCAACCATCAAAAATAATTCGGGTTACATGCTGTTTTCTTCTAAATCTTTGAAAGTAAAAAAACATACGGCCACCTTTGGCATGTACTGCCGCCATCGCCCGGCAGAGCTATAGAAATAAATCTATCGCCACGAAACGCCGCCGAGCGAACTTCGCGTTTCGCTTTGGCCGTGTTCAATTTCATATGAAGGCACCATCGTTACCGAAAGCTTTCGCTGAAAAATCGTCAATTTATCCCAAAAACATCGTCATTTCGGCCAAAAAAACGTAAAAGTTTTATTTACTGTACTTTTAACAATAAAAAAATAAAATCAAAATTACAATAAATATGACCATTATCAAATTAGCGCATCTAAACCGAATTAGTACGGGACCACCTCTGTTTAAAAAGTTAATTTGTAATTGATAACAACAATTTAAAATTACAATTTCAAACACAATTGCTTTTAAACTCTTTAATTCCACTTGTTTGAGGTTTCTTAAAAGATGTTGATGTAGTTTCAAAGTGTAACTGGAGCATTTGTTAACTGATCGATTTTCTTAATTGAAAAGATTCTCTCTACTATTTTTTTTTCTCTTTCAAATGAGAGTCAGCAGTGAAAATTTACGATTTTGTTATAGTTCTAGAACAAATTAAATATAACTAAAATCACGATTGTAGAACAATGCATGGTTGTATTTTGGACTACGTTTTCCTTTAAAAATTTTTGTTCATACATACATATGCACTAAAATAAAAAAAAAATCGTAATTTCGGGGGGACAAATCGTCAAAACGTCATTGAGCTAAAAAAAACGTCAAAATAACGACGAAATCGTCAATTCGGCAACGCTGGCCGGAGGGTGTTCTAATTTTGACAGCGGTAATTTCACCGTTCGCCGGCATTGTGTTTCCACGGTTATATGGAATGTGGGCGTGGCTATTATGCGATTTTAAAAATTTGGTATGTTGTAACAAGGCCAACAACTGTGCCATGCTTGGGAGAAATTAGTGGAGCGGTTACCAAGATATACACCTGTAATCATAAGTGGGCGTGGCTACGCCCATTTTCCCAAAATTTATAATCGTATTTTTAGCCTAAAAATCATTGTAAACATCAATTTTGAGTGCATAAGCTTAAGTAGTTACCAAAATATCGTAGTTTTCGTATCTCTGAAAACCAACGTTATATGGGTGGTAGGCGTGGTTATTGTCCGAATTTGCCCATTTTCAATACCATCGGACGGAAGTCCGAAAGAAGTATACGTACCAAGTTTCGTTAAGATATCTAAATTTTTATTCGAGTTATCGTGTGCAAAGACGGGCAGACGGAAAGACAGTCACGGAAATATATACATATACATATATATTAATGTTGGTTTTTAATTACTATCAACACATTTTGTAAATCTTTTATAATTTTTTTAAACACACCAATACGTTTTATTTTATATTTATTTATTATTTGATATGCATGCATACAAAGTTTATTTCGAAATGACCGTAATCTATATCTATATCTATATTCTATATNATGGTTGTATTTTGGACTACGTTTTCCTTTAAAAATTTTTGTTCATACATACATATGTACTAAAATAAAAAAAAAATCGTAATTTCGGGGGGACAAATCGTCAAAACGTCATTGAGCTAAAAAAAACGTCAAAATGACGACGAAATCGTCAATTCGGCAACGCTGGCCGGAGGGTGTTCTAATTTTGACAGCGGTAATTTCACCGTTCGCCGGCATTGTGTTTCCACGGTTATATGGAATGTGGGCGTG